TTTTTTTTTTTTTTTTTTTAGCTTAAAGTACCTCCACGAGAGATAGAGAGGGGAGATCCTTTTTATAAATATTACTACGTCATTAAACTACGTAATATACAGTTCCAGCTCTACTCCAGCTGTTGGTAAAGAGCTTTGTGCTATTTATAATCATGTGCAACTGCATTATTTGCATCACCTATTCTTCTCTCCTTGGCGTGAATAATGCGATTCTCTATAACATCCAGCGTTGCGTATTAAAAGCCAATAATTTTCCCTTCTGTCGCCTTCTGTCGAGGGCGCATTTAACAAATCGAAACGCATTGAAAAATTTCGGCGATTTTAGCCTTTTTTTTTTTTTTTTTTTTTTTTTTGGTTTTATTATACAGTTTACAGACGCGGATTAAATTAAATTATGTACGGCGTTATGTAAGAAATATATATATTATATATATATATATATATATATGTATATATATGTATGTATATGTATACATATTAGAAAAAATAGCACGCTGAATTTCAGTGAACATATATATATATGCGTTACAGAGAATCTCATTAGTTTAGTATATCATACGTATATGTAATGTAATTGATAATTGTATAAATTATGCTTGAGTAAATATTTAGTAACGTTTTTTCTGCGACGTACCTATGTAGTCTTGTTTTTTTTTTTTTCTCTTTCTAAGCAGGAGCTGGTGAATGTCATAGAATCGTCCCCATAAGAATCGAAACACAAAGCGATTTGCGATATAGAATATAACCTGTACAATAAAGATATAATGTAGCAAGATAGTATGGTAGTGGATGGCGGATGTATTGTCTGTTCACTACGCATCTCAGCCAGGCAACTGAACGCTTTTTTTATATGTACACCGGAGACTCCTGGCCGGTTAACAACCTAAACATCGACGTGGGCATTGTTTTCATCAAAATCTAAAACAGAGAATGAGAATTTCGATTCTGTCACACATCATCATCCCTTTTCGAAAATTATATTCTTGTTTCGATAAAAAAAAAAAGCATCTCACACATACCTCTCCCACTGACGTAGCCAGAAGATTAACAATCTTTTCGTGCGGTACAGCAACAACACTCTGATTATTGATTTCAATTATTCTATGTCCCACCCGTACGCCACCCCGCTCGGCGATACCACCTCTCAATAGACTACATATCACTCCGTTCTGTACACTAAATCCTAACTGATATTTCGTGTCAGGTCTCTTGATTTTCACTTCGACAACGGGTGCGCACGGCACAACAGTCAGTTTAACGACCGTTTGATTCTTCGAATTCTTTATGTAAGTCTGACACGTTGATAAAGGCAAGCCGACTAATGATACACCGTTAATTGCTATTATCTGATCGCCAATGTTAAGTTGTCCGCAACGAGCGGCGGCACCGGCCGGTGCTAAATTCGCTATTACTACGGTTGGCAGCATCGAGCCCCACCCAGACTCAACGATTACGACCCCGAGGATCTCGCCCTTCGCTTTCGGCACCACCACCTGTGTGTCGGGAAAAAAAAAAAAGCACAGCAGAATGTTGAGATTCCGATATATTAACTTGCAAGATTAAAAAAAATTGAAATGTAAAGTAAAAACAAAGTTTTCGCCGTCAATACCTCTTTCTGCATCTCTTTCTTGGCGAACATCTGCAACTCGTCGCCGAATATCTCTTGCGAATTGAGCACCTCCTGATAATCCATTTCCTTAACAAAACTATGGTCTTCTATTCCGTTTGCCTTTAGGAACTCCATGTACGCTACTTGGAATGCTTGTCCGATACTTTGTGCTATGAATTGAGCCTCTTCGCTCTCGAAAACGTGGCAAATCATCTTCGGAGTTCGATTTATTTTCGGCACCTCTTCCATTTCGTGAGGTACGAAACGTCGCCGCGCCATCAACACCACGAGATCACCGATATCCGCTATGTACGAGATCGTGCGCAACGCGTGATCCATCATGATCTCTTTGAGATCGGTGTTGAGAACCATGATCTTTTCCGTGGAGATAAAGAGATCTACCTCCGTGCTCGGCTGAGTGTCACCGTCTGGTGCCTGGCGATCATCAACACACACAACGCATGTTTTTGTTTTTGTTTTTTTTTTCAGAAAAAACTTTTGCATCAAAAAAAAATTCTGTATAAATGTCATTTCATACATACCAACGCCTGTCATGAGAAAGCAGCATGTGTGACAAAAAAAAAAAGAAGAAAGTAGAGATAACAAGTAATTAATTAGAAATACATGTTCGAGTATATCTTGTTATATATATTAGTTCAAACGGACACAATCACGCTTAATCACTAATAAAAAGTAAGTAAATAGTGCACAATATGATGAACTGTATATAAAAGTTTAAGCATAATCATTGTAAAACGACACGCTATACGTAACAAACCTGAGAGTTTGAAAGATAGAAGCAAAACTGCCTATAAATGTTTTTTGAGCAATATCTAACTTCCGTGTGAGACTCGTTGTTTATATAATTATATAAAAGAGTGTGCATTGTATCATGTGGGTAAAAAGTGAGGAATAAGAACCCAAAAGTTTTTATGCATTATGAAAAACTGCGGGTGCGGGTTTTTTGGTCAAGTAAAATAAAAGTATATGAAGCTGACAAGATATTTATATATATATATATATATATATATATATATATACATATACATATATGTATATATATATATATGTATGTAAATTAATAGAAGGATGTGAGAGATATGATACGAGCTACTGCCCTTTTGAAAGATTTAAAAGGGCAGTCGGTCGGACTTTACAGAACGAAGGAGAGTTGTCTTGGAGGATGAAGGGCAATGAGGGCGGACCTTGATTTTTGTCACGGCCTCTTCCACCATGTGGTTCTTAAGGCGCTTACGCCGTTTACGTCCCCCTTCCTCTTCCACCTCCACCGACCCAAGAAATTGTAGTCTGAAAACGGTTGTGGACCCCAAGCAGCCACTGATCGGGGCCAGTTTCGGCTGGGCCCCAAGCGCGTGCGACTCGGCGGACTGGCCCCCACCAGAAGCGCTTCCTATAAGTTCTTCGCTCGAGTCGCATTCGTCTTCCTCTAGGCTTCCTTGCGAGGCAATGCTGCAGCGACCATACCCATGCTGCCCCCTATAGTTTAAGAGTGTTGCCTGCATCGGCACTGGCCCATCATCCTTCCGTTATGCACGCGCCAAACAAACAAACAAACAAAGGCTCTTGCTAGTCACATTGCCACGCACCACCGTACAGAACGAGAGGCAAAGAGCCAATGTTCACACATGAGTTCTTGAGTTGCTAACACAATCACAGTTTATAAAAACACGGCTTTACGTCTCTTATGCACAGTGGTCACATGCTTCGTGTTTTTTTCTCTATCGTATATACCGAGTCAAGTCATCATTCACATACAATAAAATAAGTTACTTTCAAGTAGCATACAAATTTTTGCGAGTTTTTACTGATGCGACCTTCGTTGTGCGGTATTGCCCTCGAAACAAGCTCACGATGTTCAGAAGCTGTGCAACGTGCAAAAGCATATGTTGCGAAAGTCATTAAAAACAAACATGTATACACCGGAATCGCTGCTGTTTGTGTAAACAATTTTCAAAACATAATAACGATATACTCGTGGAAGACATAACTCTTTCTAAATATCTCGTATTCAGCAACTCAGAACTCAAAGCAAGGAAAATTTATTGTTGCGACAAGCAATTAAGTTCTTTGTCGATTCAAGCCAATCGTATTCGATGTGCAGAGAATCAGAAGAATATAAACTACATAGCGTGTAAAAATATTGATTGTTTTTGGCGATAAACAATAATTTCGATTCAATTTTAAAGGAGTTGTTTTTTTTTTGTAAATTGATTTAAGTGCAAGCGTAAGAAAAAGATTCTCTTGCCAGCGCTATTTGAAATTACAAAATAGGAACGCAAAATTGCTGATTAAAAAGCTACATTTAAAACATTTCGGTAATATATTATTACAAAAGTTGAATATAAACTGTATTTTCTTATCGTATTTGTGTATATATACTACAGCATTGTTTAGCAGCCTTGCAATTGCGAAAAATAATATATTGCATGCGTTTCTGATAGAAAATCAGATTGAAACTCTATCCTCTTTCAATCTTTATATATATATATACGTTAAATATACATTCGAAAATTAGTTTTAAGGTCACTCAATCACGAAAACGATTTCGAAATAGTTTTTTTTTGAAATAGTGTAACTAAAATATATTCTTGCAACGATACAAAAACGTTTTTCTCGCTTCCGCAATCCCTGGTCTACTCAACTAAGAGACTTTACTTCATGCTACAATAAAAAAGATATAGGTATCATAAAAATCTTTAAAGTTGTCTATGACAACTGTATATATAGTTCAATTACGTTCAATCTTGCAGGATATATACTGTCATATTAAAAATGTCATAATTTGATTATCGATTTTCATTTGTACCTCTTGGTTTTTTTTTTTTTTTTTTTTTTTTTCAATACACAAGTTAGTCGATATTTTTTATGAATTTGTCAATCCCGCAGAAATTTGCTTTAACTTGTGTCTCTGGTATTTTTTCATCAAGTCCTTGTCGATGTTATTCTAGATTTGCTTTTTATGAAGTTTTCTTCCTCTTTTACTGACAGCAAGTTTCTCAATCTAGAAAAATGTTAAGCGCAGTTATTGAGTAGACCATTACTTTCCGCGTGTGTAACGACTTTTTCGTGTGCGTAAATAAATAAATTATTGTACCGAGATCGAGAGAATCTAAAAGGAAAGCAAAAATGTAGCAAGCGGACAATAGATATGTTACATAAAAAAAAAAAAAAATTTATTCGCAAAAATAAAGAGAAAGAGAAAGAGAGACAGACAAAAGATTGACAGACACACACAAAATCACATCAAAGTTACACTGAGAAGATGACAGTGTTCGGTGGTCAGGTGGTGGTGGTGATGGTGGTGGTTGGTGGTGGTGATGGTGTTGGTGATATGAGGAAGGGGGACGCTACACTGAAACATTCAGGCCTCTTTGCACAACGGCCAGTTCACAGTTATATTCAGATTAATTCTATCAGATAGTTATAGACAGAAATCAGCATTCAGATTCTCCTCCGGAAGAAAACTGAATTCAAAAAAATGATAACCAGCTTTGCAGTCACTGAGCAAAGTGAATTCACTAGTATAATTCCATACATAAGGTCACACAAGTGAGGAAGAGATGTTATCTAAATGCTGATGTTTGTGATTACTCATGAGCAGAACCTAAGAGCAGGAGGAAAGAATTTACTGTTTTGTTTCACTTGATAATATTGACAGTTTTCTTGAGAGATTAACTAACATTGAAATTATATACAGATTAATTGAAGAAAAAAAAAAAAAAGAGAGTATGTCGCAGTTTATGTTATCAGTGAAGATATGAAATATCAGAACAGAAATTATATGATATAGGTATGTTCTGAACGCAATTTGTCTTCTATATATATATATATATATATATAAGGAGAGTATGTTAAGTATAACTGAAATCTCGCAACACATTCGTTTATATTTGCGAAGTTGAAGTCGATAAACGAGTCTTGAGACACGATTTATAAAAAACGGACAGTACTCTTTCCTACAGAAAACTCTCAGGTTTAACTAAAAATTATTCAAGATTTCAGCATTTTAACCATTTGAGGTGAATTGGACGGATCTCAAAGAAGCAACAGTCTCGAAATATTTTACACTCGACCAAAAAAAGACGCGCTTTCCAAGACATAAATAAATTCCTTCCAATATTTTTTTTACAATATTTTTTAATTTTTTTTTTTAACTCTTGATGCGCGATGATGTCGAGATAAATATTATTATTTCAACAGTCCTCAAAAAGTTAAAAATTTCAACATAGAAATACATTATTGCAGATGAGAATATTGCGTTGTTGTTTACTACAAATTAAGTAGCAAATCAAAATAGTATAAAAGCATTCAGAGCATGCTGCTAATTTCGTTATTATTTTGTTATTTTATTCTAGAGTGGGTCCCTGTGGGAAAAAATTTTACACTCTCTCTCTAAGAGATTTTTTTCTAAAATATCCGATTTATATATACTCTTGAGTGGATTAAGTTAATTCAAAAATCTTATTTAAAACATCTATTTATAGTCAATATGTATACACAATATATAGAGATTCTAAAACGTATACATGTTTCTTTTCAACTATATAATATATATATATATATGCACCTTTCAAACTTGATTTTCTAATCTAAACAGATCGAAACATGTCATTTGTACAAGAATGCATTATCTATTAGATATCACAATATGCTTACTTAATTAGTAGTTAAATGTTCTTTAGAACAAAAACATTCTCTAGGAAAAATAATATATATATATGAAAATTTTGCAAGTGAGACTTACGTCACACTTGATAATTCAAAAATTGTACTTCAATAATATCTTTCTCTTTCAACGCTTCTTCGCAAATCTTTAGAAAAAAAAACTATGTGTTCTCACATATAGACTCTCGATATACGTTGGTCAAAAGAAATATTTGTAAGATATTTTCTTTTTTTTTTTTTTTATTTCTCGACTGCGCCTCTTCCAATAGCTTGCTGAATAATATTAACAGCGCTGCGCGCGTATCGCATTGTGGAAGGGAATTAGTGTCAGCAGCGAAGATTGCGATGTGAAGAGAAGAAAAACTTGTGTCCGACCGCGTACATCGAGTGTCTATCTACTTTATTCTGGTTTGTATATACCCTAGATATATAAAATTGTGCATCTTTATACACATATATCTGTATATGCAATCGTAGATATACACATTCATATATCCTCTTGTAACTCACAAATATATGTATATAAAAAAAAATTACATCATTTTTTGTCTGGTGATGACATGACAATCAGAAAAGAAGATATTTTCTACATAATGTACCTTTATTCTGGAAACGGCTTCCTCCGCTTGACACATTCGGGTCGACTTCGTAGGCTGACCCTCGCATACTAATTGCGTGGATCCTAAATACCTCGCTCGGAACAAGACACCCTCGATTAACACTGAAGGATCGTCCAATAAATCTGGAAGTGCCACAGACAGAAACCACTTAGAACTTTGAATCTCATTTTTCTTGTAATTTAACGTGCCGAATACAGCTACGTGTTCGAAGAAATTTTTTGACAGCCTAACGGAAGACATTGCATCTCGGGGACCGGAGTGTTTTTTTTTTTTTTGTTTNTTTTTTATCAAATTTTCCAGCTACTGTTAGAAAGTTCCATCTTAATAATTGTATTTATATCATCGCGTGTGAGAAATTTGAATTTTTTCACTTTTATTATAAATTGTCTTTAACACCGAATTACACATATCTCACACCGACTAAAGATTGATTGATGACACGGAAACGTAATATGAGCAATTGTACATTCGAAATGGCGCAGCCACTTTGATAGAATATCAAAGCGCGGGAGATTGTGAGATATTTATGACATTGTATGAATAAAATTGTCGTTATCAACGTGAATTACCATTCTTATCAGGATATACAAAACGAAAGCGCTATTATCTGATTTAAAGATGTTATACTTGAGTAGTACACGTTTTTTTAAAATAGTCTAAAAAAATGTACGATACACGCTTCTTTGATATATGCAAGTATTGAACAAAACAAAAATCAATGCTCTATCAAAATTATTTTGCACAACATTGCAACTAGATAGACAATCGAAAAACATCGATAAAGATTTAATGATGTTAATAGTAATTTTTAAGTAGCGTATATAAAATTTTTAAAGAGAGATCATGTACCTACCGTGTATAAGCGATTAAGAAGTAGAGATGTCGAATTTATAAATCCAATCAAGCATTAAGGGAAAGCAGAGAAAGAAATATTATATTAATATATACGTAAGTAATATAAGTATATTGTTATATAGATTTTTTAATGTTAATAATGTAACGATGGTACTTAGTTAATTACTTGAAAAAACTAACTCATTAATCAATACGAGAAAAGAAATTTTGAAAAATATAAAAATGTTTTTTTTGACAGCGATAAGAGAACACATGACGATACCTTCTTTGTTCCTACTCTTTTTCTTTCCTTCCTTATCCTGGAAAAAAGAAAAAGCATAATAGCATTTTATGTCCGATGAGACTCAGAGAATGTGACTTTAATAAAATAATAAAGTAACAATTGAAAATGTCACATGTGTAATTATTGAGACTGTTGAATAAATGCTAACACATGCAAGTAACTGTCATGTAACGTAACTAATTAACAATGAATCTGCGTTTCACCGAATCGTATATATGAATAAATTATATGGTTGTAAAATATGTAGATAGACTATACGAAACATCCATCATTTTTTACAATTTCTGGGTGTTTTTAACTCTTACAAACGTAAATGTAAAAGATGTAACTAAAATCGTTTGAAATTTTTCGTATTTTGAAATTTTTTTAATATTAGATCAAACAGAAAGTTAAATAAGCATAATAAGCAATAAGCGGTACTCAAAATTAAAGTAATTGGGGTGGGTAATGCCAAAGAGAGAATTAAATCTCTTTTTCGGTAAAACAAAATTATATATCAGCTTAAAACATATTACTGTTCGAAAACAGATAGCGTTTTTTCAAATAACATTCGCATTGAACAATGTGAGAACAAAGGTATATTGTCTTTTCCTCAACATTGATTTAAAAACGGCGTGCTTTAATGTAAACACACAGTGCTCAAGCGTGATTAGAAAGTACGTTTCGTTTTATAGCAACAGAAAGATAGCGTTGTCATGCACCAATAATGTGCTATCTCGCAACATCTAGACATCTAGATTATAGTCTCTAAGAAAAAAAAAAAAAAAATTAGATTCCGTGGTATGCACTTGATAAGGCACCTTTTTCACCTTGTTGTTAGATTCCTTGAGGCTCTGTGGGGATGAAGGAGAGTTTTTGACTGGGGTCTTCTGCGGACTCGATGTGGGTTGCGCGGGAGTGGTTACTTCGCACTCGTTAGAAGACGGCGATTGTATAACAGATACTACGGGCGGTGGAGAGATCGAGGTAGACGTAGAGGGTATGGGCTCGGAAGGCGCTAGCGTTTCTATCGGGGCAACACTCAGGGTTTTGGGAGGGGTTTGCTTTGGAGTAGCGACTTTTGCATTCATTGATGGTAACATTGTCCTAGACTTAGGCTTCCTCCACCCCTGCATAACACCAAGACAATATTTTTAATAATAAGAACACCAATATACCAGTGAATCTTGCGTAGCATATACAGAGGAAATGTGTAGGTATGTTATTGTATACTGTTTTTCTCTTTCAAAATTCAAACAAACTAATTGACACGCGTCAATTTATTACCTAGTACGAAATTATATAAATTGTTGTTCCTGCAACGACTTTCTTTTCAAGTGCGTGAATATGATTCGTATATACGTGCTTAATAAGACATTAAATATAAAAAGGAATAGGATCCATTAAGTATAATGATGATGATTTAAAAAGAGCAATAATAACGATCGAGTGAAATTTACAATTTACTCGTCGAATACGCACCTTGTCGTCGTAAAATCCCTGATCGTCCGTTCTCTGCTGTCCGAGTAACCGATCCGTTTCTAGATCGGTATCAGCCTCTTCTTCGTCCGGGCATTCCTCGATCTCCACGTCAGCCTCGTCACCTACGCGACGTGCTTCCGATTCCTCACTATTGCTTTCCATACAAACTCTCCGCCTGCCGTTCATTATACTACATCTTAGTTAGATGCGTTCACACGCAAAACAACACGCATTGGCCCTCGAAGGGTATCCCAAACGTATGTTTAGCGCGTGCGATAAAAAAAAAAAAAAAAAAAGAAACATAAATTACAATAGCAACTATGGAAAATCAGAACAAAATAATATCCGAAACAACACAATTGGAATACCCTTGGATCGCGCGAAACGAAACTTAAGATACCTTGGTATCCATATCGGACTGACGCTCGGCTCCGGTGGTTCTTCAGACGGCGACTTCACAGGCAGAGTTTTAGTTCTTTGCAACGCCATTCTGATGTCTTTGATAGCCGCTTCCACCTCTCCGCAGTTTACGTCTAATGTAACACTTTGTCTTCCTTGAGGCGCCGGTGGCGGCGGCGTACCCAGTGGATCCAGTCCGTCGAGTTGAAGCTCGTTCGCGTCGTACGAATTCTCCTTCTTCGCGATAAACAGATCGGGAGACGTAGTCTTCAGCGTATGTAAAATATCCTTTGTTACATTTAGACTGACGTCCTTTCCGGAATCGTTCTCATTGGTGCCCAACATATCGTTACGAGTTCTCTGTATAAGTTCCTTTTCTATCTCGTTTATTTGCCGCTTCATTAGCATCACAGTAGGATTGTTGTTGTCGGTGTCGCTCGCGTGTCCGCTAGACAGACCGTCCTCCAGCACCGGCATGCTCGTGTATATTCTAAGCGAGTCGGAATTGTTTCCCAGATCGCCGACCGATCCGAGAAGACCGCTTGCGGGCATCAATTCATTATCCATCATCATGAGGGACACCTCACTGTCCAAGTCGCCGCAATTGCTATCGCAATCGGTCGTCTCCGGACTGAGCGTAAAATTACGCGAATGTCCAACTTGCAAACCGACCTCAGTCTCTCCCAGATCCTCACTGCTGCCAGTACCTACAGAGAGGTCTAAAAAGTTGTTTTCGTGTTCACCTGTCTAAAAAAACCAAAAAACACTAAGCGTGAATGTTTACTGAATACCGCGTCTGCGTTTCAAATGGTGGTAAAGCTTTTTTTTCAAGCACACAGTCACAATTGGTGCAATTTTTAAAAACAGACGGTGTATCTATAAATATATGAACTATATATTTTATAACCTATATAACTCCGCTTGTAAACATATTCCAACCATTGGTGTTACATTTTTTTGAAATTGATTATCAATGATATCGCGATAACGATATTTACTTTAGTGAATTATTTGGAAGATACATAAATAAACATCAAATTTTTTTCTGCGACATCTGCTTATTGACATCAGAAGCAGATTGATGTGATTTTGGATGAAGGAAACAAAACAAGTTTTGAGAGAGAGAGAGAGAGAGATTAATTTTTTTTTACTTCATATACCCTTTCTCAAACTTACATTTTGTGGAAATTCTACTCGTTGCTTTTTAGGAGATTCATGTACCATAACCTCTTCCGTTGCCGGCGGACCGCTGGCTAACCGTTGGCCAACATATGCGCTACCTCCTTGTCTTCGTAATTCATAATCGAGATCCTTATGACAGAAAATAGCTTGCTAATTATACTCTCTTATAACAACGTAAGTTATTTTATAAACACATATGTGAGAATTTCTTTTATTATATAAAGTGTAAAAATTTTAAATTATCAAAAGACTCACTTGAAAAGGAAAAGTTTCTATGCTGTTCTCCTTTTCTTTCGTCGGCGCCGGACATTTGAAAAATTCTTCTAATACTTTTCGCGTCTCTGAAAATTCGTACAGATAGTCGAAGGTGCTACCTCCTGGCGATACAAGACTGCTTATATTATCAGCAGGTAAGGTTGTAGGTTTCAAAGAGTCTTCCTCCTCATCTTCGACCTTTGGTGACGGAGTTGAAGCATTTACAGGCTGATCTTCGGTGCTAGTGTTTTCTATCACAGTCTTGTCTACAACGATTTCTGCAGAAGTCTCTTCCTTCTTGAGGTACGAAATAAATTCATGAAATATTAGAAACTTGTACAAGTTTACTATTTTCTATAAAAAAGATTCTCTATATAAGTATATTAGTTTTTTTTTTTTTTGTTGTTTCAGTTTTACCTCATTGTGATTTGGTGTTGTTGGTAATACTCTTTGAGGAAAACCAGGTCTTGGTGTCATGTACATCGAAGGCGACGATAATAAGCTAGGAAGCTGGGTATTTTCGCGCACCCCATAACGTCTCGGGCTGCCGGAATACTGAGCGATCGGCAATTCACCGATGACTCTCGCAACTTTATGATTACGTTCCGGGGAAAGAGAATCCACCTCGCAATCACTCGCCGGTGTAACAACCTACAAAAAAAAGTCACAAAGTATTTTGCAAACGTGCTGTTTTCTTTTTCTTTCTTTTTTTGATATAAATGTGATACATTTATATTTTTTAAGCGACGTTACTTTGAAAAATTCCGAAGTGTTGCGGTGATATGCCGTTGTTGGACTAGGTGTGCTCCCGACGCTGGAGCTCGGTGGTTCCGGCGCGATACGACCTCTCTGAGAATCGTCCGTCTCAAGATCCAGATTGGTCGTAACTTGGTTCGTGTTGTTCGACGCCAGATCCAATCGCAGACCCTGCCAATTGTCATCGATATCGTCGAAAACAACAACTTCACCGTCACTAACGATGGCCATACTTCTCGCCGGTGTGTTGTGATTCGACTGATAATCTATGCAACTCTTTGGTAATCCATAATCCAGATCGGTAATACTTTTCGGTACTGCGTATTCTACATTATTGCTATTTAAAATCGAATCGTAATTAATTATACGATTGCTACGATTGCTCTTGGGAGAATCGTAGTCGAGTATGGATTTCGTCGGGTTGCGACGAACCGAGTGCACCTCCGAGGCGAACACAGTCTCTGTTACTTCCCGGTTTGCGCGTTGCTTTCTAGTCTCGCCGCATCTGAAAATTCGTAGCAGATTGAATAGAACACAATATATCAAACACAATATTTGTAAAACAAAATGAATGTTATATCTTCAAGAAAACAAACAAACAAAATCAGTTGACTGCTATACTATAGAGATTCTATAATTACCGGCTTCTCAATTCCCATATGGTCTGCGTACCAGGAGATTTGTTATTCTTCTTAACTGACAATTTATTGTCAGTTTGAATATCCTCGTTATTTATTGAATTTGACGCAGCCAGAAATCGTGATTTCCTAGCTGACACCTTTACTCGACTTTGTGAGAATACTTCTCGACCACCAGCAATTTCTATAATTCTACATGATGTACAAAAAACCAAAAACAAACAAACATTACACGCTTGTAATAACTTTTGTAACTGGTGAAAGAATGTACACACACACACACACACACACACACACACACATGTCAAATCTCTCATCTCAATTAAATTTAATCAATATATACTACCAATATAGTCTCTCACAATGAGAACATATGTAAGATCACAGTGGCATTCTTACAGGTGTCATGTGTTCTAAAAATAGCATTAGGCCCAGAGAGAGAGAAAGAGAGCATTTAAAACAATCCAGACGTTTTATTTCTCTCTAATTTTGTTTTAAAATAAAGTAAAATAATTGTGCAAATTTGCTTGTGGAAAATAATCTATATACAAACACAGACACGTGTTTGTTGACAAAAACAATAAGAATCCTCAAACAGCAGGTTATAAATCCTGAGACGTCAGATTCTAACGACTGTGTTTGCAAACCGCGTGTTATAACAGTTCGCTTTTCCTTATCGCGCGAAGGAAATGTGAAAAAAAATTTTTACGTACACGTAGTAACAGTCGGTAGAGCGACGGAATATATATTCGCGACGCCGCGTCTCGCGTGACAGGTGAGTTAACCCCAAAGCTGTGACGCGCGCGCGTTACCCATGATTTTTGACATTCGCGACGTTTGTTTTCAATTCGTGCGCGTTTTTCCCGACCGACGTAACATTTTTGCACGCGCTATTTGTTTCAGTCGCGGAAGCAACGACGACGCGTCGACCTTGAAATTTTTTTTTTTTTTATTGAAAACTGCTCGTCGAAACACGAGATCGACTTTGCGAGGATCTCGCACACGGAGAACGGAGAGAACGTGTGAGAGGCATGAGAAAACGGGCGCGACTTTCAAGCCCGTAAACTCTCGCGCCGACCATCTGGATGCGCTCTCATCGTCATCATTTCTCAAACGCGCACTAACTCCCCGGCGGCCTTATCTCGTCGACTGGCAAAAAACCAACATCGCGGGAAACGTATGTATCGGATTATATTGTGATAAGTTGCGACTCTTTATTTTTACGCGCGAATGCGTGAAAAAAAAAAAAAAATACACTCACAGTTGTGAATTTAAAATATTACGCACATCGAAAAAATTGTATTCTTGTTTTGAGGATATCCCACTCACTTTAAGTATTCTTTATACTAAAATAGGCGCCAAGAAGAGTTTCTTATTTTAAGAGGAAAATCCTCTAAATAGTAATATATTGATAAGAATATATACTGATTAGAATATAAAAAGCCTCTATAGAAAAACATATATATATCTCACTATCGAAAAAGACTATATTCTTAAATAAAGAATATATTCTTAATTTCAGAAGAATATTATCTAAAATCTTGAAGAAGATTTTTTAAGTATAAAATCTACTTATAAGAATATAATTTTTTTGGTGTATATGTATATACACGTACACCGAAAAAATTGTATTTTTGTTTTAAGGAGAGAGATATCCCACTTACTTTAAGTATATTTTATACTAAAATAGGCGCCAAGAAGAGTTTCTTATTTTAAGAGAAAAATCCTCTAAATAGTAATATTGATAAGAATATATACTGATTAGAATATAAAAAGCCTCTCTAGAAAAACATATATATATCTCACTATCGCGAAAAAGACTATATTCTTAAATTAAGAATATATTCTTAAAAATAAAGAGAATATATTTTTAATTTCAGAAGAGAATATCATCTAAAATCTTGAAGAAGATTTTTTAAGTATAAAATCTTCCACTTACAAGAATATAATTTTTTCGGTGCGCATTACATGAATGTTATAAAAAATAAATAAACGCGCACGGAAATAAATCTGCTCTCGTGCGTGCGCGCACAGTCGCGTGAAATACGAAAGACGATAAATCGTGTGAAATTACGTAATTTAAAATTGGAACTTGTTCGTATCGAACGTCTGCGTTTATTTCGAACAAAAATCGAGAGAAATAAAGACTTTACTTATTGTTTTTCACATCAAACATATGTATAATAAAATTCCCGACACGTTCGCCGAGCGATTTGAAATATATATATAATTATAAACCACCTGTGTTCTCTCGCGCGTGGAAACCGACTCTGTGCGAATTCTTGCGATCGAACGTTGGTGGATCCGAAAATAAAACGGCGTCCGATTGTCACTTGCGTCGATAAAATGAGTTTCGCTCGAATTACCGATGTGTCGATTGAAACAATAATAGAATTCTTAGACGCAAAATTGTAAATTGTCAATTCGCACACAAACGTAGTTTACTCGTCTCCTCACCTCTGACGTTGTTAAAAAAGCGTGACATAAAAGCTGCGCCGCGCGCTATCTCAAGATAGGTGACGAGCGTTTTAATAACCGCATTGAGCTAAAACAAAAATTTCAACTAAACTTTTGTAAAAACTCGCTTACGTATAAAAAAAGAGTCTCTGAACATATATATTCAAATTCGCACTTGTTTGCGAACAGCAGAGGGAATTCGAGAGAAGAGAGATACGAGAGAGATATATATATATATATATACCGCGAGAGATAATATTGTCACGCTTGTAACGAGCAGAAAGATTACGCGTGACCACAACCGGCTCTCGTGTGTGTGTGTGTGTGTGTGCGACCGAGGGGATCGGACCTTAAAGCGGAGCCCCGGAGCTTCGAATGCCGCGCCCGGTGAAAAACATCATTGAGCGCCGCGACTTTTTTATCAGTAACGAGGAAAACGCGCGACTTGCGAGGAAGAAAAATGTTTGCCAAGCGGGATTATATTCACACATTGTCGCGAGAGTCCATTGACTTGTTTGCTCTATATAACGTATACATATATATCGGGCACACGGCCTCCTCTCTCCTCGCGACGCGTTTAATGGCAGGCGAGGGAGAGAAGCTTGGTATTTGAGTGACATTTCCGCTCGCGAGTATATCGCCGGTATTAAGCTTGAAATTAACGCCCCGTTGAATATACATGTAGACGACTAGAGCCGAGGAGAGAGAGAGAGAGAGAAAGAGAGATACTCGTCGAGCCAACAGCCGGGTGAAACCTCTGACGGTATCGGCTATCGAAACTAGACCGCTCGTGTCCACTGACGGACAGATACATAAAGACCCAAACATCAAATGGGCTTTCATCCGTCTCAACCGATGAGCGTTTTCATCGCAAACGCGGCCCAAGTATACGCCTCGGATTTCGACGTTGTGAGAGAGAGATATATACACCGGAATGGGTAAACGCGCGGCGGTTTGTGTGTGCACAAGTGTCTCTCGTATCTCGAAGGTCTCCCGGTTTTATTGCTCGCGCCCCTCGGATCTTCTCTCGTTGGCCGTTTGTGACTCGATAATTTCAATCTTTATTTCTCTCTCCGCTCTCTCTTTAAGTTCAAGAGACCTCTTTTGATCTTTCTTACTCTGACTTTTAATCGTTTTATCTATCTTTTAAATGTCTTGACGCATTTTATTTTTTTTTTTTTTTTTACGACTGATGATTGACCGACGTAATAAACAAGCGAGTACAAAGTAGTTCGTTTTTTTTTCCCCCGCTGATGAGAAAAAAGCACATCGAGGAGTCGGTTGTTATATAATTTTCTTCGAGAGAGCGCAAGCTGTTTTTTTTGTGTCCCTCCTTTTGTGTTTCCGCGTTGGACGCGCGCGATGACACAATCCTCGTTACCTCGAATCCCGAAGTTTGTAGCTGGGACCTCCCTTGGCCGAGGTGAGAATGTACACGGGGCTCTCCTCGGGTCCGCTGTCGTCCTGCTGCGATTGTCCCTGATGATCGCTTCCCGGCAAGCTGCCATATTGCGGCGCGTCCTCGCTACGTCCCGACGCCGAGGACGAGCTTGACGAAAGCGGCTTCGCGGTGTGCGCCGGCAGTTGGCCCTCGACCGTAAAACCGGACACCACGCTCGCCGTCCTACGGGACAGCGAACCTGATTTTTTTCTGCCATTCGCTCGTTTTCTATACCTACGAACGCAACTTGACACTCTTAACAATCGGCAATTGTTAAAAAGTGTGTAACACAAATTAAAAAAAAAAACAAAAATAAAAGAGAATGAAAAACAGAATAAAAAAACAGAAAACACGAGAAAAAAACACAAACGCGAAAAACACAAAGTATTTTCTCGTACCGTTGATTGAAACGGTGGAACGTGTAACTACACGCAAACACTGTTGCATCGTAACTACTACGAGCGAGGAGGAGCTTGACGGTTTGCGCGCGCGGTTGTCTTTTATCCCGGCATAAATTTGAAATATTTTAAATGGCCCGCGCGAATATTTTATTACTCGCAAAATTATGCAATAAACGAGAACAACACTTTGCGTGCTCGTAAATTCAGGACTACGTCCTGAATTTTTCTTCAGGAAAAACGCCGTTTTATTTTATCATCTTGCACACCTGCGCCCCGCGTCTAGCTCCTCTATTAAGCAATTAAGTCTCATCTCACATTTCTCCGTGAGAGAATGTTGAGAAGAATAATTGTAAGATAAAAAAAAAAAAAAAAGAAAGAAAAAAAGAAAAATAAAACCAAACACGTAACCAGACACGTAAACTAGTCGTGTCGGGTCTAAAAATAGGTCCACGCAACGTTGAACAGCGCAACGCAATAAAAATAACACATCGAGAATTCACTGCGGCAAAAGTTGCAATTGTATATAAATTGTTTCAAACAAATTGCAATTTATATACACACGGTAACATACAAATTGTTTTTTATTTGGAAAACAACTTTCTGTGTCTTCTGTGTCCAAATCGATCAAGAAATTATCGGATTCGGTTTTTTTTTTCTCTGCGACTTTTTTCCGGAGCTGTTCTTCTCTCCTCCCTCCCTTTTTTTTTTTTGATTATCCCGATCGCCTCGCCCCGATTAAATCGGTTTAACTTGCCTGTCGGGGGTGTCGCGCTCGAGGTCGATCATGTCGTCCGATATCGCGGAGACGCTTGTCGACGTGTTTGTAGAGGCGATAGTGACAACAGCGGCTGTTGCGGCGGTGGCGGTGGTGGTGATAGCGGTGGCCTCCGTCTGGCAGGGGCTGTCATGCGGCTGCTGCTGGCTGCTCTGCGTGGAGGCCCCCGGGGCCGGGGGTGGGCCGCCCCTAGGCCGGCATTTCGGAAAGAGTCGATTCAAGTCGGCGTTCTCCAAGATCAGGCTTGTCATCGCCACGGCGCGTTCATGTCCCGGAGCAGGATGTCCATTCTGCGGGCAGAACACGAAATAAAAGAATTTTCTTCGCGGTGCGTTAAAGCGTTGCAAGCGAGAGATAGATGTACGGAAATTTCGCTGTCTCTCTTGCGCGCACCGAAAAAATTGTATTCTTGTTTTGAGGATATCCCACTCACTTTAAGTATATTTTATACTAAAATAGGCGCCAAGAAGAGTTTCTTATTTTAAGAGGAAAATCCTCTAAATAGTAATATTGATAAGAATATATACTGATTGGAATATAAAAAGCCTCTAAAGAAAAACATATATATCTCACCATCGAAAAAAAAACTATATTCTTAAATAAAGAATATATTCTTAATTTCAGAAGAATATCATCTAAGATCTTTAAGAAGATTTTTTAAGTATAAAATCTTCTACTTACAAGAATATAATTTTTTCGGTGCGTATATACGTGAAAAGAGCGTATTTTAAGAAACGTAAAGTTTTGTCTGACGTAAAGTTCTTTAGTCGAATATATTCTCCAGAAATTTTCGCGCGTTTTTTTTCTTTCGAATTGTTAATCTTCAGAGGAGATGATATTATCTTCAAAATACGCTCCGTTTGATATTGCAATTAATTGTGCGAAAAAAAATTAACGTGTGATTTACAAGAGCACGGAGATTTATCTTTTTGCAAGAAAGGAGAGATCGCGAGTGGTGAGTGCAGACGAGGTTTAATTTGGGCGTCGGGGGAAAACAAGCGGATATATTTTTCAAGCGTCAAATTTTCACAAGGAGATGTGAAGTGTGTTATCGATGCATCAAATTATAATTGAAATAAAAAAATCCATCTCGCCCGTTGATGCTACGTTCTTTTAAATTTTCGAGATCTCTTATATTCTAATTTTTCTGTGCAAGAACAATCTCTCTTGATAATCGCAAATTTTTTATCAACCCGCATTGTTCGAATGTTAAAAAAAACAAAAAAAAAAATAAATTTCCGCGCACGTTCTTGACACGTAATCAACGGAAATCTTCTCGCGTATCGCGACCTTGCTTTAATGAGGCTTTAATACGAACCTACCTACCGTGGTAGGGAGAATCAAGATATCCCCAAACACACACGTGTTGTGTGCAAAAACGTGCGATCGATTTGCGCGTTAAAAAAAAAAAGTCTCGATAAGAACCGCTTTGGCGGAGGGGGAGAGGGATAATATCTAAAAGACGTGTGTCTCTCTCATACCGTCGTACGTACCCCGTCTCTGGCGGGGGGGGGGGGCGACGACGATTTCGAGACACTCGTGCGAAAAATATAACGTGGACGAAAAAATCTCGCGCTTTTTCGCCGGGTCTCTCTAACGAGGTCGTACTCTCGCGCGAGAAACAACGCGCCACTCAACCGCGTCGCCACTCATACTCCGGCGACACCGCGGAAGTGTTGTACTTCAGTTATACTTCATACGTTCAAAGGGTTGAAGCATCGTGCACACGGGAATGCGGCAGGACGACAACGAGTTAGGTCAATGGTGTACACCCAGACTACAAAAACATACACACACACGGAGAAAGAGAGAGAGAGAATGGTGAGAGCGATACGCTCGAGCGAGCCGTTGACTTTCCTCACACGTCTGCTGTTATCAAAATGAACTGTTAGATCGTTATATACGTGTATAGACTACACACACCGTGCCGCTCCGACACTTAGCGAAACAATGTGCCGGTACTTAAAAAAAATTGAAGATGTATATTTTTCTCTCGGCGTATCATTTTCTCTCTATCTCGGTTTATCCGCGAGTTCTTCGGGGTTTGTGTATTTTTTTTTTTTTTTTTTTTATAATATAAGCGACGCGCGCGCTTTAATATATTCTTATAAAATCCATTAAAAACTCGGTCGCGAGAATTTTTCAGCAAATTTCTCCCCCCCGGTTTATGTGTTCTCGCGCGAAACAACAGTTCCGAGAGGTGTTTCCGTTGCTCGCGCAAGAGAGAGAGTTAATTATTCCTCGTCCGTGCGACAACCACCACTTTTCGTGTATCCCGAAAATTTCTTTCATTTGACTACCGGTGTGTGTGTGTGTGCGCGAGCGCACGGTACACACACACACACACACACTTCGCGATTCAAGAACCGGAAGTTCGTTCTCTTCTCGCGCGCGGAGAATTCTCTCGCGAGAGAACACAAACAATTATTCCAAAACTCGAGTTATTACCATCCCTCCGCGTCGTAGGCCCCCGCGACCCGAACGCGCTCGTCAGCGAACTTTCCGTCGTCGAATTTATTGTTATGCAGTGAACTCTCTCTCCCACCGAATAAGCAAAGTCTCGGAGGAAGAGTGCACGGCGCGTTTCCGCGATGAACTTTGCGCTTTTAATTAACACCACTTTTCCGCGCACGAAGAAGAAGAGACTTATGAAAATTCCATAGACGACGTCGCGTCGGTCTGGGGGGGAGGAGAGGAGCTTCCGTTCCGCGCGTTTAAATTTGCACGCGAGGAGCACGCGAATTCGCGCCATTTCTCTTCTTCTGTGTTGCGAAAGACGTAAATCTAGTCTACGAAATAACATATTGCGTTCTCGAAACCAAAATTTGAGATTTAAATTGGTTGGATTTTGACAAATGAGAACGCGAGAAGGGAGATTAAAAGAGAGATAAGAACGGACGGATCTCGGAAGTAGATCCGATCAACCCTCGATCGAGAGTGTCATCGTGCAACAAGCGTGCGTCCGAAATTTCGAAGGGGGAGATTCGCATTCGGTCTGATTTATCGCACCCCGAAGAGGGTGCCGGACAGACGTCGCGTTGAGTCATTCGATTGGTCACGCGGCTTTAATTCGGGCCTCGCATGAATCATCGGTGAATTACGAACGAAAACCCGAGTTGGTAATTATAAACTCTCGACTCGGCGGACGCCGATATATCGACTTCGCTGCGGAAGCACGTAGTTGTGCAAGGAACAGAGAACACGGTGGTTTGTGGAGCCCGAGTCGGAAAGAGGGGCACCACCACGCTGGCATGTGCGGCGCCGTTATTAGTTTCGCATAACCGAACTCGATTTATCCTCTCTCTCTCGGGTTCTTCGACATGTAAACGTATTTCCGATTTTCACACGTGTGGCACCTTCCGAGAGAGCCGATAAGGCTGCCGCCACACGTGGATTATTTATTTCGTTAGTTAACACATACACACACGTACCGCGTGCTATTCGAAAGTTGCCCGTTGAAAATAATAGCCGCCAGTATTGTTGGCGATTTTTAATACGCGAGAAAAAGAGAGAGAGAGAGAGAGCGCGCGGAAATCGGCGAAGATAATGTGTGGCCGCCAAATGGCCGCGAACACACTCCGACTTAAGTTTCTTAGTAGTTTACGTGAGCGAGGAAGAGCACGTAAACCAAAAAAAAAAAGAAAAAAAACTATTAAAAATACAAAAATTCTGTACGAAGAAACAAGTTCGCGCGAAAATATGAGAACACAAAAATCACAGGACCGTAAAGAGGAAAGAATCGTAAAAAAAACGAAAGATACCTTGGACTTCCGCAAGTTTAAAAATTGGCAATTTGCGCAAATCTCGCCGCGCGCGCGCGCACACACACATAACCGCGACGACCGTATTAAAGTAAACGTGGAACAAGAGTTAAAGTAGAGAAAAATGCATATCGCGCGCGGCGCAAAGACGCAATTTGTCATGCAATATCCGCGTTCTCCCCTCTATGGAATTTCGACGTAATTTTCGTGACTCGGCGAGGAAGGAATTGGCTTTTCGGCGGACGACGTCGACGTCGTGTGCGGCGCGGCGCGAAACAAAACCGGGAAATTACGGAAGCACGCGAAGCAGCGTGGTAGTGGTAGCACGTTGGCCCAAATAGCGTGTAATTCGCGCTATATAGAGAATCCGGGAGAATCTTTATGCGCGCACACGTGCGCAACTATAGCGCGGCGGAGCATTCCATTCTCCGACAGTGATAAAAGTATGCTTCTCGCGCCCCTACTTGGACGCGGGGGAGAGAACGCGGGGGGATGAACAACCCCGCGTCTGGTTGGCTCACGTCAGCGTCTTCTTCCGTAACGCACAGCGAGAGAAAAAAAAAATCTCTCATAAATCTTTCATCTCGCACACAATGATGGTGTGTTTAATCAAACACACACACACACAGCTCTATTCGGAAAGTAGGAAGAGTAATGTTAAACACGTTTAGAACACAATCATCATAATCCTCTTTTCCCATCACGTCACGTCCGCATTTAAATTGTAACATCGCATTCTCATAACGAACGTCTTTTGTGCGTTTTTTTATCACACAAAGAAAACTTTAATTCCCCCTTCCCCCTCCCCCACATGTCGGGGGGATTTATATAAAAGCTACTTCCCCGAACGGGGAATCGCTAAAAAGGTGGTCATCTAATAAAGAAGCAGAATACGCTTGGTCGAACAAGTCCGCAAATTTATGGACCAATAGGTTGCCGTAATAAAGATCCGAGCGCGCGCGCGTGCACGGTTTTCTCAAAAATATGGGAATGCGTTTCCATGAATGGTTTCATTCTCCCCGCGTTTTCAACGTGGGGTTTCAACCTGATGGCGGCGGTGGTGGTGGTGGTGGTTAATCTACGATCTGCAGTTTAACGGCGGCGGTTCGGAATAACAAGAGAGAGAGAGAGAGAGAGGAACGCCGATGAGGGAACGCGAGGGGCGAGGTGGACAATGGCATATGTATAGACCCCCGGCTGTCCTAGTAACTCTTCGTCGTGCGATTTTCACTGAAACTACCGCGGGGCAGTATTATATAGGTATATATCGACTTGCTCCTGTTTTGCGGAGCTCTATCGCGCGCGGGTCGCGCGGGTCGCAAATTTCTCCTCACGACCACCACATTGAAGAGAGAATTATACGAGAGAACCTGGTGCGAGAGAAGATTGCGATCGAATAAAAGTGACTTGTTTTAATGTTAACTTGCTTAAACTCCGTTTGAGCAGTTCGATAATCTCGACATACATTATTGTGCGATCTTATCAGCGGTGCGGCAAAATAAAACAAAGAAACATCTGTTTTTCGATCG